TTATGGGGGGGGGGGGGGGTTGAAATTTTTCACAGCTAGGCGGCTAGACTAGGGAAAGGAATACATCAACGGTTAAGACAAAGAAACATGCCGTACGTTCTGTACTAAGTTGATGTACGATTTTGTACACTAGTTTTCGTATAAAATTCCCGTATAAAAAATGCGTTTGAAATGCTGGATTTAAAGACGTGGACAAAGATGGCGGTTCGGGATTTGAGCAGTGAACTCGATGTTTCTAGATCAATGTTTCATGTTTGATTGTTATAATTATGTACGAGTCAAATCCAACCGCGATCAGGCCCCCCCCCCGGGCAACCCCAGGGCATTTGACTTAACATTACCCCCGTATAGGCGGGAATTTGACGGCCTGGTCGGGCATTTGACCACCTGACAACAACTTGCTCAGCGGTTTTCCCTAAAAATATGTGTACATTCTAGCGCTTCAGGAGTTTTCTATTTTACGTCTTTTCGATAGTTTAAAAATTGCTTCTGAATCACAAATATCAATCATAGATATATGATACAATATGCCCGGTTGAACAAAAAGGACTGTCTGGCCTATTTTTCGTTCTTTTTAATCTTGAAATACTTGTTCAACTTAATTTTAGCCAAAATTCCAGAACCAGGACGACCCTATAGCAGGGCATTTGACTGTGGTTTCTGCCTGTTCGGGCGGGCATTTGACTAATTATTTTTTCAAAAGTCAAATTCCCCGGGGGTCGCCCGGGGGGGGGCCTGATCGCGGTTGGATTTGACTCGTACATTATATGGATATTTCAGGATCAGGGTTAGAGGCGAATGTTTCTTCATTGTCTGAAGGATTTTAAGGCAAACAGAAAGAGGTAACGGTTCAGCTCCTCTGTGAGAAGTGTACACAATCGTACTTGTCTGTAATTCATGGCGTATACGCCATACGCCAAGCTAATTTCGGCGTACAGTTGTATGTCCGTACGCCTATTTTTTGCAATGGAAATCGGCCTATTTTTGGCAATGGAAATCGGCCCTTTAAAGGCCGATTTCCATTGCAAGTCGCTTTGCAGTACTCAACTTTCTCTGTAGTTGTCTAACCTGTGCGTTTTTTGTCCGCCTGACTCCTTGCGGACACGCCATTAAAATTGAACTACATTCAACTTTCTTGGCGTGCCCGTGCGACTGATTTTTCACGTGATTACAATCTCGTTCTCCGAGCCTGCGATCCTCGGGAAGGAACGTGAGGCTCTGGGATAATCCGTTGCCGGAAGCCAGGAATCCTGGCTAAGACCGAACTGCGCATTCCATAACAACAGCCAATCAGATTCCTCCCTAAAACGGATTATCCCAGAGCCTCGCGTTCCTTCCCGAGGATCACAGGCTCGGGGAACGAGATTGACGTGATTAAAATTGGTCGCTTCACCCGCGCGGGCAAAGCGACCGCAATGGAAAATGGTCTTAAGTTGGCCGCATCCGTAAATTTAATCAGTGGTTACTGCAAAATGTGACAAAACTGCGCAAGTGTCGAATTTCTCAGGCCCAGCTTTTATCCGTAGTCCAATCTAAACCCTGGTTTGAATTGCAAAATCTTACCGCCCCGCATTTTCTCCGTATAGGTGGTGTAACTCGATGTACGAATGATGCTATAGTTCTCTGTGAAGCAGCTGGTTATGATACAATCTTAGTTGAAACAGTTGGTGTAGGTCAAGCAGAACTGGCTGTCTCAGAAATGGTGGATATGTTTGTTTTGTTAGTAAGTCCTGCATCAGGAGATGAACTGCAAGGAATTAAACGTGGAATTATGGAAGTTGCTGATCTTATTATCGTTACTAAAAACGATGGGGACTTGAAGGCAGCGGCGAGAAAGACAAAGACGGAATATATAAGTGCGAGTAAATTTTTACGGAGTAAGAAGTCATCATTATGGAAGCCTAAGGTACGTATGATCGGTGATTATTGGCAAAACTCTGTTTATAGTTATTTCCCCGGCGCAATGTCGACAGCTGATTGTTTTAGTCTTTAAATCCAGCAAAACTTCAACCTTGTTCCCAGGAAACGAGAAAGACCCTGGGAACGAGCCCGGTTGGCAAAACGTGAATTCTTACCCGCAAGTTACAGTGGTAGTAACTTACTTTACAGAAATAATTGCGCCTAAACTAACTTAGCGAACAAACTAGGCGAAATCAGGTGGTATTAAAGCCTCAAATATACCCTTTGGAGGTCGTTCATCAATTAAAAGATGACCATCGTCATAACTGTGCGGCCTAGGTAGTGGACCTAGGCCTCAAGCCCGCGAGCCTTTGTGCAGGTTCGCGAGGCTCTGGGAAGCACGGGGTGAAAATCAGTACAACAGGAATGCACACCAATCGGTGATAAGTTTATTCCCTGCATCAGGTATTTAGGCAGACGGCCGTCCAACCATCCTATGGACTGTCACTTTCGAAAATTAATTAACAATAGACGATCACGAACGGCCTTAGCAAATAATGTTTCAAATAGCAACGTACAAACTTTGTGATATTGCGTGAATACCTCAATACGTTACGATACTTTTGTGCGGAAATATATACACGTTGATGTTAGCGCCATGTCTGTTAAGCATGCCACGAAATAAGTGGCCAGACCCACAATATTTTTTGGACGGCCAGGTCTGACACCCTGGCTGACGTCCGGGTTTGACATCCTCGTTCCCAGGACTTCTCGACTTATTTCCTCTCGTGTATATGATATATTATTTGTTCATATTTTATGATTATGTAGATTCTCACGGCATCGTCAACGAAACGAGAAGGTATTCTCGAGACGTGGAATGAAATAGAGGAGTTTTTTAAAACTATGACTGAATCAGGAGAACTTACAATGAGGCGAGAAGAACAACATGCACTGTGGATGTGGAATTATATCAAATATGAAGTACTTGAATTATTTAGGAAAAATCCGGCCGTGACAGGAAATGTTGCATATTATGAGGAACAAGTTATAAAAGGAAATATTACGCCGGGATTGGCTGCTGATGAACTACTGGGTCTATTTTTACTATCAAGACAACAATCTATGAAGGAAGAAGAAGGCAAAAGATAATGATCTTGTAGTTAAGATTACCATGGTTTCTCCCTTTCTAAAAATTATATAACAAATTGAAATATCCTTATGAATGAATTTGAAGTGACAGGGTGGGATATTCGCGTACTTACGTACCAGAGGTACGCCAATATTACGGTCTGCGGAACTCTTGATATCTGCGTATTTACTTTTTGCTGGTACCAAATGACCTTTCCAAGCCCAAGGTATTCAATACCGTAATTTAATTGGTTTATCATGTGTCTGAGATGTCTTGGCATGAAACATGATTGGACTGATGGCACTAAGATAATGATCTTGTAGTTCGGTTTCATCATAGCCAAGTCACTTTCTTTACAATCAGCGGAGTCTACCCAATTGTGAAAAAAGTTGCGCTGAGCCTTGGTCGTCCACCTTCGGAAAGTTCGGTTGGTGATGGTGTAAGGAAATTAGGTTTAGGAGTAACAGGCACTTGTGATGGTATCTCGGCAAATACAGGAGTACGAGGCACTTGTGGTGGTATCTCAGCAGATATAGTAATAGGAGGCACTTGTGGTGTTGTTTGAACAAGGCTTTCAACAATTTCGTGACTGGGATAGTGATCCGGGACATCCATCTTATTTTTGAAAGTCAGAAACCTATTCAGCTGATCAGAATAAAGCTCGCTTTTCTCCACCCCAGAAAGTTGTGGTGATTACAAATATCGATCACCCACAGATGAGATTAAATTAAGGGTACTTTGTATTGGGAAAGTGTGCTTGTTGGAAGACGTCTCATTCTACTTTCTATCCACGCTCTTGTTGTCGATCACTGCTTGGAATGTTTTTGTTGATCATCATTTGTTTTCATCATGTTCTTGTTTTTCCGTTTAAAGAAAAGAAAACAAAGCAAATTATATAGAAACCATTTCGCTTCTTGCATTGGTTGTCATTTCAAATATAAACCTGTGCAAAGCGGTGTTATGGTCACCAGGAGTGACTCCTGTTGGTCCAAACTTAACGCACATAAAGATACTCGAATGGATTTAAGTGGTTTTGCTTGCTCTTGTTCCATTTATTTTCACCATTCTCCTTGCGTGTTGTGTTCTTTCACTTCTTACGCGTTTAGTTTTCATTTTAGCACAGGGTGTTGCAACTTTTTTTCTCATCCCTGAAGACTTATATTTTTGTTGAAGAAGATCGTCCTCTTATAGCGAACTGAGGCAGCATTAAAACTTTAGACTATCTGATACAAATTGTCGTTGTTGATCATTCACTCAACTACAATATCCCACTACTTAACGTATGACTTGCTTCGGAATTGTACGGTGCATTACTATGCAGCTATATTAAAGAATACGACCTCTATGTGTTCAATACGGTTCAATACGTGGATGTAGAGAGAGACAACTTCTCCTAAGAAGAGTGGTTTGGAGCAAAATTGACAGTGGGTCGGCACTCACTGTAATTACACCTTATCATATTTAAGAAGATATTCACAACACTATTAACTATACGTGACGTTGTGGTAATGTTATATGATATGAATTGCGCATGTGTATTTGTCTGAAATATTAATTATGTTAACTATTATTTTAAAACATTTATGTTACATTTCTACCAACAAAATTACATTAATTTCTACCATAATTACAAAACATTTATATTACATTTTTACCAACAAAATTACATTAATTTCTACCATAACTACAATTATTACGTATCTTATTATTAAAATATACAGAATATGTAGACTTAAGTGCAAACCAACTAAAATATTATCTATATATACATTAACTACTTTATCATTTTTGTAAGAGTCGTGACAAAACCTACAATTCCAGCAATTATACCAAATAAAATGAGGAAAATATCCTTGACTACAATATAACTAGGTAACGTATTACGTTTAATCATCAAGTGAAATACACAAGGTAAAATAAAAGCCAATAAAGAACTGCCTATTGAACCAGATAAAGCAGTGATATAAGCGTAATAGTTACGACCTACGTACGCTACACCAAACGAAAAAGAAACCAGAATAGAACGTAGGATGTTTCTCTTCCATGTGGACCAACCCTGAAATGGAAAAACAATATTTCAATTTAGTTGTTAGTTTATTATTACAAGGTGCATATGCGAACCACGAATTATGTGAATGGTTAATTTTTGATTGGTTAATTTTTGCACTAACTGTGGTTAACTTGAACTACTTTTTTATACAAGCAGCCCTACAAACATAGAGAAGCTCACTCACCACACTGGATAAATGTATGTATTGTTTCAAGAAATCAAAGTAAGAAGTATACTGATATAATTGTTAGCCTGACAAGTACTTGTTGGTCGTGAAAAAGTGATACGATTCATCCAAATTATTAGTTCAAATAACTAACTTCCTATATGTCATTATTTAAATTATCAAGTAGTTTTGTAGTGTATTAAACAAAGGTATATAAAGCCAGCCACGGCTACTCCCGACTACAGTCTTGGCAATGGAAGTGCTCCTAAAATATCCATTTGTTCACAGGAACCAATTCATTTGAGACATTTGATCATTTATCTGCAACTTAGTGTATTTGATTATTTCTGGTCATTTCCTTTATGACTGATCAATTGAACTCAAACCAAAGGTGATTGGTACATTCAACAGGAAGTTTATCAATTATACAGGAATTAAGTTATCAAATTTCAAATAACTTGGCAAATGAATTGGTGGTAGAATATTCTGGGAATACTTCCATTGCCACGACTATAATCCAGTGATACGCGCCAGTGATACCCCCCCCCCCGAGGCTCTGGTCAACAGGGGTGCATGGGGGGGGGGGGGTGCAAAAATGACGTTTATCCTAATTCTAACCAACTTATGTTAAGGAATTCAGTTGCGTATCACCAGTTGACAATAGCAGAATAGCCAATATTAAATATTCTGAATTTTTAAATGTTTTGAGAATCTAAAAATTTTCAGTATGTTTTCTCAGAATGCTGGAAATGCCATTTCAGAGACCCAAATTTTTAAAATTTTCCAGGGGAGTATGCCCCCGGACCACCCTAGAAATCTCGCGCCTTCAGAGCTCGTTTCGCCATTGGTTAGCACCCCCAAAAAAAAACTTTGCTGGATCCACCACTGCCATGAAGTAGAGAAGAAATGGGAAAATGGGATCAAGCTTTACACATTTATATATAATAGTCACTAAGTTAGTTCACTATACCATTCATATATAATAGTCACTAAGTTAGTTCACAGAATGGGTCACATAGGTCTTCATAGTCTTATAGGCTACTGTAGATATTCACACGATTAAGCTTCACCGGGTGCCCTTGTGTATTTCCCCCTTCTCCTCTACAGTATAAGCTTGTTTAATAAGTAATGAATATTAATTACCATGTCACATTTACACAAGTGTCCAGGCCTCTGGACGACTGCACTATCACTCTTCTGCAATGCAGAACCCTCGTTGCTACTACTGACATGCGCAGAACTTTCTCCGTCACCACAATCTGGTTCCTCCAGTGATTCCTCTTCGGAACTTTCATCCCCTGGTACTAAACCCCTATATTGTACATTCGCCTTATCATGCTGAAGATCTTCATCCTCTTGGTTAAAACTTGTGATGAGAGTACTTCTTTTTTTTGTCTCTTTAAATAAAAAGTTTTCCGCAATTTCTACAATTGGGTACATTTGTAGAGGGTAGGTAAAGAGAACAGCAATACATAGAGTAACCTGAAGTGCTACAGATAATGGTCCATATGGTAGGTTATCACTGACTAACTGATCAACATTGTCGGTAAAGTGAATATAACCAAAGATACCAGAACTACCAAATATGACTGACATTAGAAATATTACTCCATGAAGATATTTTCTGTAGTTACCACGATTTTCGTTCATGCTTGCTTCGATTGGAAGGATCTAAATAAGACAAGAGTACAAGTAGCCTAAACAATCTATAAATGCTAAAAATCTCGCCTCGATTATACATTTTATTACTAAACACTGGTGGCGTTTTATCGGTGGTTTTAAATAGCTTCATAACAAATGATTTGACTTCTATGAGCATTTTTCCCTATTGTTAAAGAACACGATTGAGTTAATAATTAACTGTCCAATAATGGTCATTAAGCTTAAAATGACTTACATCTACTCACTCATGTTCAACATGCAAATAAATCGCCTAATGCATCGGTCACTAATCGCCATGCAGTTCACAACACTATCCTGAACCATATATATACCATGAGTGTTAGAAGCTGTAATGCTTAAACATTTTACCACACAGTAGTGCCATGCGCCGGAGTTCTGCCGGAGCTGAACAACCGGGGTTTGCACAGCACTATGGCACACAGTTCCACAGCAGCCTTCAAATTATTGCTACTTACTTTTGGAACTACTTGTATGCAAAGGATTGGACCATATTAAATCCCCCACCCAGATGGGGGAAGGTTTCATTTACTACAACAAAACAGGCACTCAACTGTTCCAATTCCTTCATAAGCTCCAACCAGTTGCCCAAAGAATATTGGAAAAGTAGAAAAATTCCAGAAGCGAATTTTATGGATATTGCCAAAATCTATATCTTTAAAGAAAATAAATATTCGATTAGCAGCCCATTGCGCCAGAACCAAACTTCTGTATAATTAATTATCTCTATATCAATACAGAGTGTATATAAAAACAGTGGACAGTTCTAAAATGTCCACTAAACTGAAAATTCCGCATAATTTGTGACGACTTTACGTTATCGGTAGTTTGGAGTCCTCTGGTTTGTCACAAATTTTGCACAATTTTCAGTTTATGCATGTGACGTTTTTGAACTGTGTACTTCTCTCACAAACCTGTGTATAACAAAGAGATGTAAGATGGTAAAAGTTTTACCGTTGACCTGAATACTACTTTTACCATCTTCTATCATCTTGTGTTTGACAGAAAATATGGAACCACTGGGCGCTAACAAAATTTCGTTGGACGACGCAACTACCGTAAATCCTCTACTAAGGCTTAGTACTAAGCCCCCGCACACTTTTAAAAATATATGCCCATCTAAAGGCGCCTCCGTACTGTAACAAGACCCCATCTGTAATAAGACCACTGGTCCACCTTCTCATTATGCCCACCTTACATCGTGTACCACGTACGTGTATGGCTTGGATCTTAGAAACACAATGTACCAAGTTGACCTGAATCTTACTTTTCACCATCTTTGTTTGACCTTCAATTGCTCAAAACATGCCGACATAAATAAGCCTTCTGGGGAGTATCATAAAAGTAGCATAAATATGCGGCAGTAACTACCAGACGAAGGGCCTTTGATCGAAACGTCTGAGTGCATGCTTCATTGCAATACCAACATTGGAACCGAACAAGTCCAACAGTAAAAGATCACAAACTGAAACGCTATATTATTTTTGAGGTGTTTTATCGAAACAATAATTCACTGTATAGAAGGCAGCACGTTCACTTTGATAAAGACGGAAACATTTGTGGACAAAAATTATTGCTTTTAAATTCATGGGCACGCTGTCCTAAATTGTTCACTCTTTGGCTTTGCTCATTCGTAAACTATTTTCATAGGTAAATCAAAAGAAAATCATCTTTTTAAATGATAAAAAAGCGGCACTCAAAATTGAATTTATTGTTCAAAAGCACTTGGTAAAACAAGTGTAGTTGAGTATCGTTTGAATAGTTTTTGGCCAAGCCACTTTTCTGGAATCACGTTTGTTAATGAAATGTTACTGTATGTAATATCACTAAAGTAAAACACGAGCAGCCGATCTCTTCTGATTTACAAGGCAAGCGGTAGAAAATCAGATACAGATCGAATGCGTTATATTACTCAAAATACAAATGCATATAAATAGTCAAATTAATAAATAATAGGCCCTTTCAAGGTTAACGACGCCAAAGCGTGCAAACACAATGGAATTCCCTATAGGTAAATTTGCAGGGGGTGCAAACACAATGGTGAAAACAATAGATTCAAGATGGCGTTCTTAACCTTGAAAGGGCCTATTACCATCTATTTTGGCAATATGATTTGTTTTTTGTTTGTTTTATTGTTCTTCTAGATTATTATAAAATTAAATAAGTTTTGTCTGACGTTTCGGTTTCCTATACGAAAACCATTTTCGAAGACTTGAACGTTTGTTCATTTTATCCGTTTTAATGATTTGTTTTGGCCGAGAAAATCGATGCTAACGTTTATGTAAATCATGACGAAATCTGTATCCGATTTACAGATATTGATTAAACATTCTTCGATTGAATTTTTTTCATGGATTATTTAAATATATGTAGCGATATGGATAATAATATACTTACCTTTGAAAATAAATCCAAAAATTGAAAAGAATCCGAGAATTATACAGGCATTTGCAATCGCACTTAGTGGTCCAAGACTTCTGATATTGCGGACATAAGTTTGTAATAAAACTATTGGGAATGGAATTAAGATGAGAAATATAGCATTTGGTGCGCCTTCGTGGTTCATCCTTGATGATGTCAGCAATACACTTGAATTCTCTGCAGTGTGAGTTTGATTAACATTTGAAACTGGAAACATCCTGGAAATTGTATTTCCCATGAAAATAAAAATATCAACACAAAAACTGAATTGAGTTATAATAAGAGCTGTATTTATAATACGACAACCCCACTGGCCTAACGCTATCTGGCCCAGGTCACCATAGGTCATTGCCAGTTCAAGATTTCGTCTTTGTTTTAGTTTTCGCTTTTTGAGTATCCTAGATTCTTGACTTTCGTCATCATATGGACAGGTTGAGTTTATGATTTGATCAATGGCAGCTTGCTTACATTTCACGATCAGGACACAACAGTGATCTGTGATGTACGCAATAACTACCAGTCCTATAATACCAAGCTGAAATAAGAAAAGTGATACAGTGTAATTTATTCTGCTTTGCATCGGTAGTCAGTATGGTATACTTAACCATGCAGATCTTATGGCGAGCCACGCACGAATGACGTCATTGATAAAAAATAACCTGCATATGGCAGGCCCTCGTTGAAGCGGAAAAGACCATAGATATAGGAGATCTAGATTGCTAACGCATACCTAGCGCAGGCGGGGCCTACATGATAAATCCAAGATGGCGGTACAAGAGGGCAAAAAGACTATAGATTCTATTACGAAAATCAAGCTTTTGCATTTTTTGCCGTCGCATTGTTTTGAAACTTATTCGGTCAAATTTTATGGTAAAGAGAAACTTACCGCGAAGATTTGGAGCATATTTATGATTGAATTGGATGAAAACTCGCAAAATTATCCTGCGATAAAAGTTCGTGTATAGTACTGATATGTACTATATATGTAACTTGTACAGTTTTGCTTTAATTTTTGCTCACTATTTGCATAGAAAGCAAATTATAACAGACCATAGATGATAGACCCTTATCCAGTGCACTCATCAGTTTACTTCTCTAACAAGCAAGGAGGGGGGGGGGGGGGCGGTACATAACAGTTCATTTTTCATAATTATGAGGACAGAGCAGATGATGATGAAAGATGCAAGTATAAAACACCATTCACAAGACTAGATGTTAACATAGCACAGTATTTCTGGCAATAAAACGCTCCAACTGACCACTTTCACACGAACTTTTATCGCTGGATAATTTTGCGAGTTTTCATCCAATTCAATCATATATATGCTCAAAATCTTCGCGGTACGTTTCTCTTTACCATAAAATTTGACCGAATAAGTTTCAAAACAATGCGACGGCAAAAAATGCAAAAATCTTGATTTTCGTAATAGAATCTATAGTCTTTTTGCCCTCTTGTACCGCCATCTTGGATTTATCATGTAGGCCCCGCCTGCGCTAGGTATGCGTTAGCAATCTATATCTCCTATATCTATGGAAAAGACGAACGGAGAATGAGGGGCCCGAAAGAAAAGTAACACGTCATTCAAGACGACGAAATGTAATGTAATATAATAATAGTAAATGTAAGTGTCGCTTGGGTGTAAATATGTCAATTAACACATGGCATTGACCAATCACATTCTATATTCAAAAATGAACGGTGTTTAGTCAGGAATGCCGGGTTTTCTTGCAGGCCCTCATTCTCCGTTCGTCTTTTCTGCTTCAACAAGGGCCTGGCTGGTTTGTACACAGTCATCAATTATGTGCATGCACGACTATAAATGAAGATAATCACACATTCATCCTATTCTTGTCACCACTTGACTAAGTCAAAGGAAATATAATCATGTAAAAAAATAGGATAATCCTACTTCCAATCAAGATCCTTTCACTTTTGACATGAGACAGGAAGGACAGAACGAATGGACTTCAATGGACCCCAAAACATCAAACTTTCGCATTTAAACACCTGCTTGGTGCTTCATTATTAATTCTTATTTTGTTGGGAAAAATTTAATTTCCAGAAATATTATTTCCCGGCACGAGACTAAAGAACGTCCATATACACCGTAACCAAAGTAACAAAGGGCTGTCGGCTCTCCAGGATGTTAGCTCTCAAGGGTGTTCAGTAAAAAATTCGGCAGTGTTGTAATGTCTAATGATGCCATATGCAAAATATCCTAAAATATGTTTGCCTTCAAAGGTTTCAGCTTAGCTCGAGCCAATCAGCACCTTGTGCTAGGCCACGAGAATATCATTTAAGAGAAGAAATGTCTCCTAAGTCTAAGAGGCGATATTTCTTAACTCGGCCGAGTCTGAATGTCGCGGGCTAACATAATTTTCCAATTTCATTAAATTGCAGAATTTTTCTAATCTGGCTAACACCATCCTCTCCTTTGCAGTTTGCCCTTGCAATTTCCCCTCTCCACATCTATATTGGTTTAGTTACTTCAGTAGACAGGGAATATACTTACAATTAATCCACTCTGTTTGAAGGCAAAAGGCATTACTAGGTAGCCACATCCCATGAATGCTTTAAAAACATTTGCAAAATCAGAAAGTTTGTTTAAGAAAGGAGATCTAAAAGTTGAAACAATTTTCCCATTAATTTTGAACATTGATATTTTATAACTAATATACACTTTCTTTCTACCCTCTCTTTATGAACGCTAAAATATGAACAAGTACAACAAAACTCATTTAACTCATTGCTCACTAAAACTTTCTTATAAGGCAATACAGAACAAATTCATTGATCATGCAGCTAATGGTGACAGGGTTCGTAGTCTCCAAGACCAAAAATATTCAAAGACTTTCAAAGATTTTTTCTGCCTATTTTCAAAGACTTTTCAAAGACCTTTGAGAGTAATCAGCTGTCGAAAACTTGTGAGCATAAGCACCATTTTTGCCCAGTGATTAGTCCTGCCACATCACATCTTACTTAAAATGTACCTTTTCGTCGATATTTGCGAAAACCTTGCTCAATCAATCTATTTTATTAGCTATAGAAAATCGTATAATCAAATACTCACTAAATAATTAATTTTAAAGACTTTCAAAGACTTTCTTCGCTTTTTCACACAATTCAAAGACTTTTCAAAGACGTTAAAGACATGCATTCAAATTCAAAGACTTTCAAGGATTTCAAAGACCGCTACGAACCCTGGGTGATTCTTTTGTTAATGGTGGTCACAGTCAAAAGATGTAATACAATTGGATAAACATTTAATAATTGGTGCACTTCCTTTGACACTTCTTTCTCCTTGGTTAATAATATTCCGCAGCCCTGTACCCACTTCTATTTATAGCTAGATTATAGAAGTTGCACTGAGTATGTATGTGCACAGCATATGTTGAGGACATGAGTGCCAAATTTTATGAACCATTTGTTTGCTATTACAGTATAACTACACATAGTTGCATGCCTGGTAGCGTGCATCGTAGTGTACATTCAATCATGTACAAGAGTGTGATTGTTTACTGACTGGAACATGACTTTGTAGATTGTATAATGCACCTACCAATGTTATGCCTGGGGGGGGGGGGCAAGGGGGGATTTGACATTTTCTTGAAAACATTTGTCAAAATCCACACCCCAGGGTCACCACCATTGATCAAAAAATGGTAATATTCCCTACCTGAGGAAATCAATATTGGGTCAAAAAATGGTACCGTAATATTTCCCCATCTGGGGGCTGTTATACTGCTGAACAGTCAAACTGATCAACCCAAAGTATTGTACTTCAACAAAGCTGATCGACTATTAAATTGCCTGTTGTAACAATCTAAGTGCAGAAGACCTGGGTACAAAGTTGTATAGGCCAGTGACATGGACTCGTTCCCATGCATTTACGTGTGAATAAAAAATATTCAAAATTGTCCGGCCAAGGGCTGCTGTGAAAGATCAAATGTCCACACCCCGGGGTGATCTTGTGACATCACATCCTCCCCGTCAGGCAAGTAAAGTTGTTCAAATCCTCCCCCCTTGCCCCCCCCCCCCCAAATCAAATGGTTAAACAAGCGGGGGTTTAGTCTAATAGACGTGTTCCCATTGATCATTTTAATGTTTAATTTCGTGATTGCACAAAAGACTATGCTGATTATATCCTGCTGGGCTGCTTTCTGACGTTATCCGTGCTTATGACAATAACTACTTATCTAAGCGGACGTCAATTATCCGACTTTAGTATTTTTGTGCCAGTCTGCTTGAATTTTAGACTGCAAGTATATCAAGTTTCAGGGACATTCACCGAACTTCACTGATCTTTAATCTCAGCCAAGGGGAATGGCATTCCCCCATGTTTGATTTTGGCAGGGGGGACACTGTTCCCCGCAAAAAGGTAGGGGGACACCGTTCCCCTGCGAAAACATCACTGCTGTAGAGGTCTATCTCTAAAATACAATATAGATAAGTTGAGGAGGTTCACTTAGCTTACCCACTGATCTGCATATTGTAACTTAGTGCAATTCAATCACTTAGCACAATTTCCTCTAACATGACTTTCTGGATTCCATAAAGCTAGTAGGTTAGGTAATCCCTTAAGGGCTAGAAAATGACAGCTAATCGAGTATCCCTAATCTGAGCAGTTTCAGTTATCTTTTATCACCAAGTATTTTGATTCCTCAAGACCGAATTAAAAGTTAGTTCCTTTTCCATCTCCACTGAACTACTCTACATATAGTTTTCCGAGCCGCTGTTTCCCTCTCGGTCTCCCTCGGCCAAGGTGTTAGCCAGGATTTCAAAAGTGGCCGTCCAAAATAATTTTGTGAGTGCGGCAACATATTTTTGTGGGCATGGTCACATGTTTTTGGGTGTGGCCGCAATTTCCTATTGTTGAGGAATTGTGGTGTTTTATTCGTTGAACCACAGTTAATAGACCAAGAGGTTGAACCATTCTACTTTTAGTTTTAGATGCACATTTCCGTCATTAAATTAATAAAAGCACTGACATATGGTATGATCACTACCATAACTGTAATGTGGCACTCGAGCAATAAAGCGATTGCTGTTTTTTAAAACAGCGGTTTCACATTATTCTCCTTGATACTTCATGCGAGAATCATCAAAATGGTTATAAAAACATGGCGTGTTTTACAAAAATATGGCGCAAAGTATTCAAGAAATATTACAAAGCTTGTAGGTTGCTATTTAAAGAAAATATTCCCTTAGGCCGTCCATGGCCATCCATTAAATTTAGCCGCCAAATTCAGAAGTGGCCGTCCATAGGACGGTCGGACGACCGCCTGGCTAACACCCTGCCCCCGGCCTGCTCACCGAATGCCGAGGTGTGGACGTACTGTTAAGGTGTTGACTTACTGTCTAGACATACTACAATGTGGACTATAAATTAATTAGTTAAGTTACCAGAATTGCAAACAAAAGGTACCCATCATAGAAATAATACTATTAGGTATCTATTTAACATTTGTATGTATTGGTATAAATGATTGGTACCCGTACGGCCGTACCCATGCATACCCCATGCTAAAACATACCTTGAACTACGTCGGGGTATAGACATCGTACTTCATGAGAATAAAAAGTGTAGCCAGGCATTACCTAGCTCACGAATCTGTATTCGAAGATATGGACGTAAAAAGAAAGAAAGGAAAAAATTGTCCTTTTTTATTATCCCCCCTGATTCAGTGCCTCAGTCACAGAATAGATATTTTGTTCTGTGCCAGTGCTTCCATTTTCAAAATCAAAATTTCTCATTTTTGTCATCAAAATTTCTCTAAATTCCTTAGATTGTATACATTATTTCCTTGAAAATTCCTTGAAATTTCATTAGGCGGTTTGCAGTGTTTTGTAGCAATACAAAGGATTTAATCAATTTTAAAGGCACAATTAACAAAGATGATTGCTAGCTAAACAACCACAGGCTATTATACTGTTTAAAGGCCTTTAAAATTAAAATTGATATAAAAAGTTAATATAAAAAATAAAAAATATAAAAAATTAATATATTGATATAAAAAAATAATTATTCACAGCGTTTGGCGCCAAAAGTTACAAATCCCATCGCTCAAAAACTTTCGGAAGTTTTCGGAAACACGAGGAAAAAGTTAAAAACAGATTTTTAATTAAACATAATTGGTAATTCACTCAAAAATTCAAGAAATAGTGAAACTTTCTTCTGCACTAATGCAATTGGATGAATATTTAAGTTGTTCGGAAAAAATCCTTAGATTTCCTTAGATTTTTTCTCTTCCTTTATAGATTTTCCTTTTCGACACTAGAATTTCCTTAGAAAAGGAAATTTCCTTGAAAATGGAAGCACTGTTCTGTGCCTCAGTGCCACAGTGCTCAGTGCTCTCACATCCATTGCCAAGAATTCCTTAGACTATCGATAAAAATTTCCCCAGATTCAAGAAAATTTCCTTAATTAACGAGATTGATGTGCAGGCAGAGATGTGCAGGAATGCAGGATGCCTGTTTTTGGTAATCAATGACCTAGAATGGTCTTGAAAAGATTATAGCTTGAAGCTCTCTTAATTTTTTGTTACATTTAGGAATTATGGTCTTGTGGAGCAGCGTCGAAAAGAATTTTGCATTGTTGGTCAAGTTCGGAATGGCTAAGACTGCATTTCCTGCGTTTTTGAAAAGTATTTTTGCATAAATAACAACTAATTTGACTGACTTTTTTAATATTATTTCGGTATTTTCAAAAAATTCATTTTCTTACAAAAACATCCATTCGATCAATATCTCTGGATCAATATTTCTAGTAAAGAGCATATAAAGAGTGCAAATTTCCTCAGTTTAAGGAAAAAATTTAAAAAATGTCCTCAATTAATGCAGCGCATGCGCTATAATTAAACCGATTCAGCGTTTCCACTTGGAAGGAAATTTCCTTCTAGAAGGAAATTTGGGCCTTTGGAAGGAAATTTGGAAGGAAATAGCATTTGGAAGGAAATTGGGAGGAAATATTGTTTAACAATATTGTTATAAGGAGGGAAATGAGAAGGAAATTCTATTTTATCTCATAATTTCTAAGAATAAGGCAATTTTCACACAATTTTGTGCAAAAAATGCCGTAAATGCAGTCCTGGAGCATCTAAGACAGGACCCCAGAATCCCTATATTGAAATATCAACCCAACCTCGTACCCAGGGTATTATTTCTCAGACTCTGCTTAGCGTGGCCAGGAAAGACCCTAGGGCTTTCTTGTGTATGTGTCCAGAGAAGAGATGCAAGAAACAGTTATGGAATCTCTTTTCTCTCCCACGACCCACAGCAAGGTAGTGCCCCAATTATTGTTTTTTGTCCGCCCGGGGCGAAGATGAGCTGATTTTAACCTGCAAAATAAAGAGTTATCTGCTATAAATTAATATTATGTGTTTCAATATTAGAGTTTTGATGTTAATTACCAGGTAAATCTGTCAATTTTGATAAAAATTTTGGAAGGAAATTTTTGGAAGGAAATTTTGAGGAAAAATTAACAGTTGGAAAAATTCGGAAAAAAGGAAATTTCGGGTTAGTGGAAACACTGAACCGATTATCATTTATCAGATTATGTAACAAAATAACAAATTTATACACGAAGAAGAAACCGAAGAAAGGAAAGAGAAAGGAATCAAGGATAGTTAGCTGAAATTTTTAATTTATCAGAAATTAAAGAAAACCTCACCTCAGAGTGTAGTACGTTCTGATGCAATCATTTCTAAAGAGTACAAAATGTCGAACGACGTTATAAATTGCGAAGTGGGAATACCAGTAATTGATTTATCATGTTTACAAGATCCTAACAATCCTGAGAATGAATGTGCGAAGACGACAAGATCTATCGCTGAAGCATGCAGAGATTATGGTTTCTTCTATGTCAAAAATCATGGCGTGAGTGAACATGTACAGAACAATTTATTTAATGCTTTGAAGAAATTCTTTGCGTTGCCTGTGGATGAAAAAGAAAAAATCAAATCACAAGGTACGCCAGGTATGGTGGGTTACTTCAGTTTTCAGAGTGAAACAACAGCCTACTTGGTGAATGATGACTCTGACTGGCGTGAGGGGCTGTATGCCTTCGGAGGCGAACTTCCTGACTCACACCCAAGCAAAGAGAAATTTCCACTTGTTACACAGAAAAATTTATTGCCTGAAGAACCTGGGAATTTCAAGGAAGTTCTTGACACTTATCAAAAAGAACTAAAAGAACTGGGTTTCAAAATTATGAGTGCTCTAGCACAAGGCATGGGTAAGTATGTTAAACTGTATGTGCAATCAGGTGCGATGTTGCAAAATTCAGTTTCCCAACATGGCCATGGATTCTGCAATTTTCCAATCAGGATTGAAACATTGGGGTAACATTCATTTGTCATTTGTTACTTTAATTTGTAATACAGTGATTGATATTTCATGAAATTAATCTGCCAATTATTTGATAAAATCTGCCTTCAAATAATCTATAGCCTCATGCACTGCCATGCAGTAAATTAATCTAACATTCTTATAACAACAGATTTCAACAATGATTCCAATTTCTGGAATCTAATTACACATTCAAGGCTTTGCTAAATTTGCTTTTATTAATAATGGCCTATTGGCCTATCAGACGTTTGTGTTTGTAGAAAAAGAATGTCAGTTAAGCTTATTTATAATTAAAAGTGAATCAGCTATAATTTGATGACAATTAAGACTTCTGTGGGGTGAAGTATGTTTCCCTTAATGGCAATTCACTTATTCAAAAACAAAAAATCTTGTATTTACTCCTTTTAGGATTAAAGGAAGACTTTTTTGCTCAAAAGTTTCTTCCATATTCTTCAACCACTATTGGCATGTACCATTACCTTCCTAGCACAAACCAACCACATGAGATTTGCTGTGGAGAGCATACAGATTATGGTATGCTAACCATTCTCATGCAAGATGACGTTGGAGGGCTAGAGATAAGAGGCGAAGATGGTAAGTGGATCCCAGCTCCACCTATCCCAGGGACATTTGTCATCAATCTTGGAGATATGCTGGAAGTATGGACAAATGGTTCATACAAAGCCACAATGCATCAAGTCAGGAAATCAAATAGTGGAAGAGATCGTATTTCTGTTGCTTATTTCTTTGGTCCACAGTTAGAAACTGTTGTGAGTCCTTTTGAGATAAAGAATCCACTAATTCCATTTAAAGAGAGGGACCTGAATAGTAATATTAAATTGCCAGTAGTCTTTGGAAAATTTTTGGAAGAAAAGTACAGAGGCACTTTCCCTGATCATGATTATTGAACACTATGACACTATACCACAACCACCCAAAGTATGTCACCACACTCTGATTGGTCAAGGATAGACTTCAGATTACATATGATTAATATATATGATAAATGCTGTGGAGTTTTACCATGGCCCAGTAGCACACACAGACATAGCCTGTGTAGCATGCTCTTGTATTAGGAGGGATCATGCAGCACTGCATGCATAACCTGCTAGAAACATTTCTATGTTGTGAACATGGGAATGTTCCCTAATCAGGATATAATGAATATGATAATGATAACTATAAGGACTTTTATTTAAGAATTAAACATTGTTATTTATATGCCAGATTAAGCTGAGCCTCATCCTTGTACATAGGGTCTTTTCAGCAGTGCCTGTGGCACCAGAATGTGAGAGAAAATACCACGGGAGATTGGTTGGACCTAATATGCAATTGATGAAACTATTTGGTTGCGTGGTATTTACAAATAGATTATCTCAACCAACTTAATTGCCTGCTTAAATTTAGCCCCCTGGGCCATATTACTATGACTGGGGGCGGGTATGGGGTGGGGGTATATTTTTCCTGTTACACTGGCCAGACCGAGTCAAGATAACGATAAAATCAATATCAATTTACAGCAATAATAATTATTTGATTGTAATGAAAAATCAAATAATGAACAACAGTGGACCTTATTGATTGGCACTGATTATTGATGACAGTCACAAGACTAATTGCGGCATTCAATTGATCATTGGTACTGGTGTTGATTTGATCGATTGGCTTTCCAATCATAGATTTTCATTGATTGACAATATAAAACGCCAGGATTAGCTCATCCTTAAAACTGCCAGAACTCAAAGACAGTGCAAAGTTTCAATGAAACCTTATTTTCAAACTTGGTACCAATGAGCCATCCATCTTCTTATGGTCAGGGCCAGAACTACTGGGGGGTGTAACACCCCCCCTAAAAGAAAAGTCAAGCCCCCCTAAAAGAAAAGTCAAGCCCCCCCCTAAAAGAAAAGTCAAGAAAGGGAGCCCAACTTTCCCAGAAGGGGCTGGAATTGCGGAACATGTTAAATATTAAGGAATATTCTGAAAAATTGGGGCCAAAAAAATCTGAAAAAGTATTTTTAAACCCCCATTATCGCAAAATAATGTTTGGAAAATTTTTTTTATGTTTTATTTTTCGCAAAAAAAGTGTTTGCTTTCCGAAAATTTTTTTGTGAGGGCCCATGAAAGGAAGGGGGACCAAATTTCAGTAAGTTCACCCCCAACCAGATATCGCTTGGCAGTTGGCACGTCCCTGGCAATGGTTCTCTTATCTAGCCTTGGCGCAGTAAAACAATAGTGTATTACATTGTATTTTATCCCAGCGTAAGGGAAAGTACATTTATTACACCGAGGGAGGGGGATGAAGATGTCTTGAAAAAAGCTCATATTTTTACAGGGCCCCTGTTGAGGTTATTGGTAAATTTTGATGCCCC